TTCAAGGCATTCAACAGGTAATTCCTGTAAAAAAAGAAAAGAAATTTTGAGAAAGCAAAGAAGGGGAGCCAGGGGCTATTTTGTTGATCCCTTAACTTTTTTTTTTTAAATTTTGTGCATCTATTTGATTTACGTGACATTCAAATATTTTTTACGCAGTTCAATAGCGTGAATATGGAGTGTTCCGCGTAAGAAAAAACATAAATAACAAATTGACATATGATTATGCAGGATATGTAAATAGATTGAATAATATATTGGATTAGCTAAGAAAAAGTTTTTTTTTTTTAATCTGCATGATTGCAAAAAATTCTTAGTTCAAAAAGATAACAAGTACTTTTTTTTGTTTAACTGTGAATATTACCATAAACAGAAATATTTACTAAAAATATAGTTTAGGTCTCAAACGAAAAAACCAAAACCAACAGATAGTTACACAATTGTTGATATATAGATACTCAATTGGTGTATATATAATTATGATATTTTCGGAAAAATTGACAATTTTATTATTTGAACTAATTTGAATTGAGTTAGTTTTAAGGAAGAAGTCATTAATCCAATAAAAAAATATTTTTGGTATTTGATATAATAGGATTATTGAGTTGAATATTCTTTTAATAAAAGTTTTAACTACTAAAGATTTATATTAATATCTAAATATTCACTGACTAAAGTTATATAAAGTCTTATTTTATGAAAAATGACTTCCTAATTTTTTTCTATAAAAACGTCTTCTTGATTTTTCCTTTTACCAAATTTACACAAAAAATATTACATTCATAATTCACCGCTTAGAAAGTTTATGGAAATATGAAAAGCGTACATGCAAATGAATAGTGACTTGATACAGAGTAAGACCAGGTACATTCATCTCCTCAATAATATCACTTGAAAACATCCTGCAAAATAATTAATAGCAATGAAAATTCACTTTAACTTAATATATATCCCTAATTAAAATAAGAAAGATGAATTAAATACAATTATTAGTCTAAGTGTCTTAATTTCAAGTAAGTTGACCATAATTATAAGTATAAAATAATAAATAATTATGAAGTAAACTTACAGTCATCATTAAACTTGTTCACAACTTCTTGAAATGTGTCATGAAGATATATCGTTCATACAATATAATTTTTTTTATCGAATAATAACCTTAGTAGCATTGCTCTGACTCTTTTCTTTTTCAATCAATTTTTTACCTCTCTTTCTCTTCAATTTGAACAAATATTATCTTATCACGGAAAGCAAGAGTTAATACTAGAGAATTTATGACTTAACATATTATCGACAAAATCTATGTAGCTAAGGATTAATTAGAGATATTAAATTAAAGACATATTTGATAATTATTTTTTTTAAGTATATTAAATATCATAAATGAAGAGTAAAATTAAATACTTACAAAATTAAGACAATACCTGAGACTACAACTTGATCCAAAAGTTCAAATGAAAGCAAGTCGTTAAAATTATACATAAAATTCTCATGAAAATTTATTTATTTCTTATACGTAAATTTTGCTATAAAATAACTAATAAAATTCTAGATATGTGTAGTTAAAAGAATGAAATAGATGCATGACAAAAGCTCCATTAAATTAATAGGGCTAAAAAATTATTGAAACCATCAGGTTTCTACTTACATGTAATTAAAAGAATGAAATAACAGTAGTATATTAAAAAATAATTAAAATAATTTCTTCTTCTTCTTCAAACTCCGGTATCCCTATTATTTTTTGTGTCTATATCTTATAAAAAAGAGAAAAAGATTTTTATCTCGAAATTAATAATAATAATAGTTAGATTGTTTCTTATCTGTTACTTTCTCTTTTTTCTCATTGTTATTATCTGGGTTTGTTACTATCTAAATAATTTATTTTTCTAAATTATAAATAAATTTGTGAAAATCAAAGATGTAAGACTTGATTAAATTTATATTTAAAGATTTTAATTAATTTTTTCCGTCCACTCTTTATCGCTTTAGATCAATTAATAAATATCAACTATCACATCCATTAAAAATTATATAGATTTCTACAACAAAAATAACTAATAAAGTGTGTGACAAACATACCGAAATCTAAAAAGCGAATATATATGTGTATATATAATCTTCTCTTACTTTATATAAATATAAATACATTTTATATATTTGTGTTTGTATAAAAGATAGAGGAGAGTGGCGAGCAACAGTTTGAGGGAGAGAGGTGAATTACAAACAGTTTGCTACGTGATACAATTAAATCAAAATATAATTATAACATTTAATTTGAACTATGAATTTGTCATTATATATACAATTTTCCCATATAAATTATTAAGTAAAGAAAATGAACTTGAGCTTCTTTCCCAAACTCCCTGCTGTCCAATCTTGGAATTTACTCCAAGATATAGATACAAGTTTTATCATTTGCTTAACACATAAATGTGTCATTTAACTTGACTTCATTTTATACTTATGTTCATTAATTTTGGATGTGTATAGACACTTAAATTTTTATAAAGTTGAACAAGAAGATACACAATTTCTATTTGACATAATATACGTAAGACACAAAGTAACAGATAAAAATATCACGTAAAACGTTTATTTAATTTTATAAAAATTTAAATGACTACTTGTGAAACAAATTTGATTTGAAATACAAACACTGATATTTATATAGTTATGGTTGAGACCTTTCCATTGCCGAGCTTCCTGAAGCTTAAAAACATAAGCACAATGTGGACCACGTGTTCAATTAGTGCATTCCACTGTCTTTGCCATATATGTTGCACTAGACTGACATGATTGAGTTGTTTGGAATAAATTCGTAATAGAAATAATATTTGTGGTAATAAAAGATATAAATATGTAACACAATAATACGGTTAATCAACGAGAATAGAAGAGAAATAATGACACCAAGATTTTACGTGAAAACCCTCATAAATAAGGGAAAAACCACGTCCCGAGAGGAGCAACAAATATTACTATAGTAAGGATTTTACACTTGTATGTCTGAGCAAAACTCCAACACCACTACACATTCAAAAGAAATAACACTCTTTTGATTTTTCCACCTCACTACAATATCGCTTACACTCTCTATTTTTCCTCACAGATTATTTTCCTCTGTGATGCCTCACTCTTCCTTTCTCTCCTTTGTAATTTTTGGTGCATATTTGAAATGAGCAAGAGCTTTGTATTTATAGGAAAATCTACTCCTAATGATATCACCAGTGACATCACAAAAAACACACTTTACCTATGCAGATTTCTTGATAAGATTTTAGTGAAAAAAGAAATGGTGAGCTTTGGTTTGTTGCGGCATTTGTTGACTTTAACAATAACCGACAAACAAAATTCAACCGTTCCTACATTTCAACTTTCCTTATGTTTATCTACAATGGGTATGGACCCCACATAGGTGCTAAGAGAAACTCTAAGGAATTATACAAATATTTTGATGCATCAGTGTCTACATGTTTTTGTTCCTAAATAACAATCGATACCAGTCTAATATTGCTTCACCATCAAGGTAGAATGACGACATGATAGAAACCTTTATTTCTTTGATTGAATCATCAAAGAAAATCTTGAGTACTTTTTGGTCCTCCATTAGAGAAACCTCCGGGTTAAAGCATTAATGCAACAAATCCAATATCATAACAGAAATATTCAAATATTATTATAACTAAATTCGAAGTTTCAATGAAAAATAGAATTAACAAAAGAAAACTAGAAGGAGGCCAGAGAAAGGGAATGAGAGATAATTGACAATAATTGACCTGATGAATGACAAGTAAATTTTCTTTTCGTTGGAGCTTTTCAAGTATTGTTACGATATTTCTGTAAGGTGTTAAATATATATATATATATATATATAAATAGCAAATTATTCAAAAATAAAAAATATTTTGGGTGTTTGATACTAATCTCGAGATCCATAAACCTATCTATACGCCTAGGATTAAGGAAAAGAAATCTCGTTAACCCTATCATAGAAGTTATTATCTCAACTTGGATCGAAAGAAAGAATTTAAGACTTTGGACTTATCCTAAAACTCCAACCCCTAGCATTCCAAGTGAAACTCAAGGAGATGGAACTAAACAGACTTAGGCCCCTTCCCTCTTTCAATACAATAGGCTAACAATAAATATCTATCAAAAAGATATAAACTAAAGATAGATGATGATATTAGTGAGTTGAATGTTCTTTTGATATAAGTTTTAACTACTAAAGATTCATTTCAATATCTAAATATTCATTGGCGAACATAAAATCGTATTTACGAAAATGACTTCCCAATTTTTCCCTATAAAAACATCTTCTTGATTTAGTAACTAGTAAGATAAAGCATAAACAAGTAAAAACTTTATGACAATCAAAAAACAAATTCAAGATCTAAAAAATTAATGAGATCTAATAGGCGATTGATGCGAAACAAAATTAAAAAAAATAAGATAACAAGTATCATATCAATAAAATCTAATATGAAAATAAAATATATCTCGCAAAATTAAGTTCTATATGTATTTTTTTTTGGAGCAGTGCATATTTACCTTTATACTCGTGAGACTCAAGTAGATAAATCATCTCACTGACAAATTCTTCATCATCATCAATCAAGAAGACAAAAACTTCATTTATCATATCATGATAAAAATCAGCCATTGCATTCTTTATCATTGAGAATTTTATTTTTCAAAAATAACAAAAAAAACATTATTTTAAACGAATGAGATTCAAGAAATAAAAAGAAGAACGAGGATCATTTTTATACGTCTAAGGTACTTTTTCAGTTGAAGAAGCTCTGATTGGATTGGTTTCTTTCTTTGAGACATGTATATATAGCATCCTTCTCAAGTTGGTGTAACTATATCAATAATTATTTTGACTAATTTTTCGTTTTTTTTTAGTCAAAACAAAAGCATACTTTTGTCTCTTTATTTTTGTTTTCTGTCTTTTTTTTATATATATTTTTGGGGACTTAATATGAACGTAAAATATTTTCTTGATGGAATTATTATTTAATATTTAGTTACTTAATTATATATTCTAAAAATGTTAAAAATTAAAAGAAAAAAATGGACATTTGTAACTTAATTAAGGAATCTGACATGAGTAAGTTATTTTCCAGGGTTCTTTGCCTATTACAAAGCTAAATTTATTAATATCTAAATATTCATTGGCTAAAGTGATATAAAATTTTATTTTATGAAAAACGACTTCCCAATTTTTTTCCCATAAAAACATCTTCTTGATTTGTCCTTTTAGCATATACACACAATTGTTACATACATAATTCACCACTAAGATAATTTAAGGAAATTCAAGAAATGTACCTGCAGGTGACTAGCTACTTGATATCGAGTAAGACCAGGTAAATTCATCGCCTCATAATAAAATTTAACTATAAAATATCATATTAGTATTTTTCAAATATTGTGAATATTGTGTAATGTCTCGCAGATTAAAGCACAGAATGTAATTTAATTACCATTAATGCTGAATAATAATATTTGTCAAATCTCTTAAGTAGATTCAAATATCCTTATTTTAAATTATGAAAATAAATAATTTATTTCTCTATTTATAAATAAATTTATAAAAAATCGAATTTAAGTCTTAACTAAATTTACATTTAAAGAATCTAATTTATTTACTCCTTCCACTCTTTGTCACTCTAGATCAATTAATAAAGAATATTTTCTTCTCTTTCTCTAAAATAAAAAAAAAATCAAGCCCAAAACACATATATAAGTTTATTAAGTAGGTAAAATGATCGATATAAATTATGCCTCCTCTAGGATATTAGATGAAATTGAAATGAAAAAATAAATAATATAACCTACCACATCCGTTAAAAATAATATAGATTTCTAATAAAAACTAATCAAGTGTGAAACAAACTTAAGAAAAATCTACAAAAAAAAAAATAATAATCATATATCATCTGATTAAAAAACAGAAACAAATTTTAATAAAGTTGTCATTCTAAATTTTACTTATTTGGGTTCAACATCTCATAATTATTTTAGAAATTTAAAGTGAAAGTATTTTTTGTCCACATCCTAACAAGACAAGATTTTTTTATGTCAAATAATAATAATAATAATAATAATAATAATAATAATAATAATAATAATAGTAAAATTGACTCTCATTGGTTTCTTTCTTTCATTGGTTTCTTTTTTTTTTTTTCTTCACATTGTTTTTATCGTGGGCCTTTACAAATGGAATAATATATTTCTCTAGAATATAATTAAATTTATTTAAATTAAAGATCTATATCTTAATTAAAATTTATATCTGAAGAATTTAATTGATTTTCTCTTTCAACTCTTCATTGCTCTAGATCAATTGAAAAAAGAATATTTTCTTATCTTTTTATACAAAAAAAAATCAAGAGTAGACCACATATGTAAGTTGATTAATTAGATAAAATTAAAGGATGTGTATTGATTATATCACTTCGAAGATATATGATAAAATTGAAATTAAATGATAAGAAAATTAATATAAACTACCACCATCACTAAAAATTATGTTGATCTCTACTAAAAAAAACTAATTGAATGTGATAAACCTCTAAAAGAAATTACAAAAAGAGTCATTTAGTAACTAGTTAAAAAAACATAAACAAGTGAAGAAACATTGTTATGACAATGAGAAAAACAAATTGAAGATCTAGAAAATTAATGAGATCTATAAGGTGATTTATGTAAAATAAAAATAAAACGAGATAACTAGTATCATATCAATAAAATCTAATACAAAATTAAGTTCTATATGTATTTTATGAAGTAATGCATATTTACCTTTATATTCGTGAGACTCGAGTAAATGAATCATCTCATTTGTAAATTATTTATCGTCATCAATCAACAACACTGAAACTTGATTTATCATATCATGATAAAAATCGTTCATTGAATTATTTATCATTGAAAATTTTGTTCTTAAAAAATACCAAGTGTTACTTTGAACGATGAGGTTTAAGAAATTAAAAGATTAAAAATCATTTTTATATGCCTAATGTACTTTTTTTTAGTTGAAGGAAGCTCTAATTTGGATTGTTTTCTTTCTTTGAGACATGTATATATAGCATTCTCCCCAAGTTAGTAATGCAGATTAGTGTAATCATATCAATAATTATGTTTGACTATTTTTTTTTGTTTTTTGAGTCAAGACAAAAGTATAGTTCTATCTCTTTATTTTTATTTTTTATTTTCTTTTTAGAACTTAATATGAAACAAAATATGTTTTTTGATAAATCATTTTTCAGTGTTTAGTTACTTAAAAATATGTTCTAAAACTATTATAAGTTCCAAGAAAAAAAGTCATCAATCACTTTTTAAGGAATCTAATATGAGTGAGATATTTTTCTTTAAATAATATTTTAATTCTTCATTTTAATTATTTTAATCAGTATTTATATATATTAATGTTAAAAAATAATAAAATTATTATTTCTTTATCAAATATTTCACATTGATATTATTAAAATCATTTAAAAATAAAATAAATATTTATATATTCTATTATATCAACATAACCTTAGTGATTTTTTTAAATAATATATATCTAGTAAATAATATAAAATCTCAAAAAATCTGAATTTATAATTATTCTAGTTCTTACCCTTCATTGGTCCATTTACCAATATTCGAACATTTAAAATTATTTTCTTCTTATTTTATTCTCTATTCTTCTTTTATATTCTAATATATATATATATATATATATATATATATATATAATAAAA